GTCGACCGGCATTTCGGGGGGCAACCGGGGCCGGACGGCCACGAAGCGGGCGGGAACGGCTCTCGGCTCTGCTGGGGCAGCGGCCACCGATGCGACCCGGCTGGTGGGCGGCCGGGAAATGTGCGCCCTGCGGGGGCAGGGGGCTCCGTGGGGCGGCGACAGCTGGATTCCGAGCACGCACAAAGCCCGCAGGAGGATCCATTGTAGCCGTCGCTCCTCCCCCCTTAGCGGGGCGGGGGCAGGGACGGGGGCGGGGGATGTTGGAGGGCTAGGTTTGTCCCTGGCCCGCGGCCACCTTCACTCAGACCTTCAGTTCACTTCCCTATGAAGGAAGAAATGTGAGTGTGTGGGGGAATGGGGCGGGGGGTGCTTTTTTGTCCCCAACTCTAATGTTCCTGAGGGATCCCTTCAAAAGCCCGTGAACTTCTCACATTCAGCGGCCACTTGAGGGGTGGGAAACAGTCTCTTGGGTTTGCTGAAGCGATTGGGCAAAGGGGGGCATTTATTGGCCTCTGTCTAAAGTCCCAGGGTCGAAAAAGCTGGGCAAGTCAACTCTGGGCAAGAAACCGGGCACTTTCCACATCCCCCCGTGCAGTAAGTAAAAGCGAGGTTGATGCTGTTTGAAGTAAGTCTGGCTAAAAAAGCTTCCTTGGGCAGGTCTGATGCACGGTCACATTTGCGATCCCCTGTTTTATGCAAATGTAAGCAATTATTAATATACTGCTGATTTCTCCCTCTCCTGTCACCACATGGCAGCACAGAACTCCAGTGTTTTGCACTTTGCTGTTTTCACTTCATATATTCTGGAGACCTTTCCATGTACATACATAGAAAGTATCCTCATTCTTTTGCAGGATATTCCATTGTTTATCCAGCGTGTCTGTCATCCCTGGACATTTGTGTTGTTTCTCTCCTTTGCTATTAGAAATGGTTCTGCGATGAAGTTCTTTGATCACATCTCATTTCCCACCTGGCGTGTATGTCATAGTGCTTTAAAACCTCTGTCTTTGCCAGCAAGGAGATGACATAATCGTGTGGGTTGACTTTTTGACCCTCCATTAAAAACTAAGTCTCTTTGAAATTGCTTTTGTGCACAAATCACAGCCTAGGTGACAGAAGCTGCATTCTCTTTTCCCTGCAGCCCTACCATGGCTCCCTCCCCCAACACACCTCCATCACGCTCGTCCTCACAGCATCTGGCTGAGTTAGGAAAGGATGCCTCTTCCTGAGGGCAGGAGCAGCTTCATTCCAGGAAGTGGCTTGGATTTCAGCCTCTCTTACCTGCTTTGCTCTTCACCAGGGGGTCGCAGCGTTGGCACTGTTGCCATTTTGGGCTATGTAATTCTTTGCGGGGGCAGGGGAGCTGTCCTATGTATTGGAGGATGTTTAGCAGCACACCTGGCTTCTACCCACTAGATACTAGTGGCACCTTGCACAAAGATGTCTCCAGACATGTGAAATGCCCTGGAGAGGGTGGAAGTATCACTCCTGATGGAGAACCACTGCTCTGAAAGCTGTACCCCTCATCAGGCCTGTTCCCCATATCTTCTCACCTGGCTCTGAGATGCTCAGGCCATCATCATTGGTTGTTCACACAGGCCCCGGCTCTGTGTTCCTCCCTAGCCAGCCCAAGGCTTATCTCAGTGGGATAGCCAGGTGATGGGACAGCCTTTTCTGGCCCTGCCCAGCCTGAAGGTGTAAGAAGAAACCTCTATGGCTCAGACAGGTGGGTTTCGGCCTGAGTTGGGTTCTCTAAGGCATCTGATGAGGTCCAGCCAAGGCCCCGGGCTTCCCTATTGGCCTGATTCAATGGAACGGAGGTTCAGCCAAAGGCTTAAACGGTAAACTGGCCATTCCTTGGTCATCCTCAGCTAGTTTAATTCTTCTCCCTGCTCCCCTGAGCCATCTAGCTCAGTCAGCTGGATTTCTCACCCTCCCCAACCTCCCTTTGTGCTGAGTCTCTTTAGATGGTTTATGCCACATGCCCAGCACAATGCTTGGCACACAGCAGGGCCCCGTCAGTTTTGGCCCTTTGCCATGCCCAGAGTGGTCCCTTCATGCTCTAGGCAGAGGTCTGCCCCTCCTCACATCTCCCGTCGTCCCCTTTCCATCCCAAAGAGCCAAGATCTGACCACTCCTCCCTCCTCTGATCACGCTGGACATCTCCTGCTCACCTGACCTCACTCTACTGAACTGGGCCACTGGGCACGTGGCGCTTAACTCAGCCTGGTGTTGCTCTGGTCCTGTCTGCCTCTGTCTAGTCTCCTAGCAGGGCAGTCTACTCCCAGGAGCTCTCTCACGTGTAGCCAGTGTTGGCTGTGCTGTTATTTGCAACTGGTTGTGAGGGCAGGGTTTAGAGCCAGAGTGGCTATTGTTTCTATAGCCTGTGACACACACTGCATGGGAAGGGTTTCTTTTCTTTCTTTTCTTCCCTCCCTCCTTCTCTCCCTCCCTTCCTCCCTCCCTTCTTCCCTTCCATCCTTCCTTTCCTCTCACTCCTCTTTGCTTTTTAAATTATTTTATCATGAAAAATTTTAAACCTATATAAATGTATAGAGAAGTGTATATCAAAGTCTCGTGGATTCATCATCAGCTTCAACAATTAGTAATCCACGGCCAATCTTGTTTCATCTATATCCCCACCCACTCCCATTTCCAAACTTATTTTGAAGCAAGTAACAGACATTGTATAATTTCACCTGGAAACATTTCAAGGAGTATCTCTAAAAGATAAAGTCTCATTACAAAAAAATAACTACACCACGGTCACAACTAAAAAACAATAATATTAATTCCTTAATGTCATCAAATATCCAGAATGTGCTCACTTATTTCATCATTTTGTTTTCAGTTTGTTTGTTTGAATCAGGATCCAAACAAGTTTCTTATGTTGCCATTGGTGGATATGTCTCTTTTATTTTAGGGTTTATCCTTTTATTCAAAAAAAAATATA